ATAAAATATATCTCCTTTGCCTCATGGAATCCAGCCCTTTCTCTATGATAGAACTTGTAATTATAAAGAATTTTGAGAGAGACTGACTGTGTAGCCCAGGCTGGCCTCAAACTCATGATTCTCCTGACTCAACTTCCTAAATGCTGGGATTACAGAAGTGTGCCACCAAGCCCAGACTTGGTTTCTGTTGCTGGACACTCACATCAGGTCCCTAGCCTGACCTTGCACTCAGGAACCACTCCATGGGTGTTTGTCGAAAACAAGGGGACCAGCCAGCCACTCCTGGGAATAGTAAAAACTCTAGAAATGGACAGGTCGGAGGTCAGAGATCTGAGTCCTGCTGTGAGCACTGAGTGTCCAAGCCGGCTCTGAACTGCGGGTCACCAAGCAGCAGCTCCTGTCCTCCTGCCAACCACCAATGGACAGGTGGCTCCTCACATACTCATGGTCACTGCCCCTGAGACTGTCCAGATGTCCCCTAGGTGTCTCCCAGTCCTTACTAGACATCTGGGAAGATAGCAGCTCCCAGGAGAGTCAGGAAGCAGCAGGGAGGAAGATGACAGCCCTGCCTGGCCCAGGAGTGAGACCCATGCAGTCCCTCTGTACAAGCAGGACCGGCTCTCCTGTGAGGGTCAAATGAGTGGATAACGGTTAATATTGTACAGGCTGGAGATTAGGTCACTACATACTTAGTTAAGCACAAAGAACAGCCCTCAGAAAGTGGCTCCCAGAGGGGGCTTCCCCTACTGAGGTTTGGACCCCTTGTCGCCCCATGTTTGTACCCAGAACAGTGTGAAGGATAGCAGGGAAAAGGCTCCCTAGACCAGCTCTTTCTGGTTGCGGGAGCCTGTGGCAAATCCCTATGTGGCCTCAGGTTGCTTTCTGTAAAATGGGAAGATTATGCAACCAGGAAGACCAGCTGAAAGCATGTAACATTTGTTGTGAGGAGAGATGATATTCGCTGCTCTGGGTCACAGTGGCAGGAAAGATTTGGTAAATTGTCAACAGTCTGCTCCCTGTAGGGAGAGGGGAGTTTTAAGTGCTAGAAGATACTGTAAAATAGCGGGAAGAAAGGAGAGCAGAGGGGAGAGAAGCAGCAGAAGCCAAGGCGCCAGCTGAAACTCATGCCAAAGGAGCGTAAATGACCATGTTCTGGGGACAAGGATCGTGGTTGTCCAGTGTGACAAAGAACTGAAGGTGACAGCCCACTGGAGTGGGCTTGCTAGAAGATAGCATGGTGCCACCTTCCCCAGGAAGACATAGGCCCCACCAGGAAGACAGAGAGTGGAGTGGCACAGTCAGACCTGGGGAGGCAATTCCAAGCCAGCCACCGTGCTGTGTACCCCTCTGCCTCTGAAGGCGTCATGGGGCCGAGTCAGGGAATGTTGGGAGAGGGAGGATGGCGTCCTGGGAGGTCACCTAGTCCAACCTCAACTCTAGGACAGGAAGTCTCTTCCGTCATAGAGGAGTGCAGGGTCTTTACACCATCCAGCGTGCCTCTTCCCTTCTGTCTGGGGGCTCTGCAGACAGGAGGCTGCGAGTTTTACCCTCAGGGTCCGAGAAGCGGAGGACTGCCCCTGCTATCAAACACTGATGCCCCACGGTGGCATGGCAGGGAGGCAGGACGTGGGGAGGGCTGCATCCGTCAGTATCTCCTACCAGCCATCTCTCACCTCCCCAGGAAAGAAAAGGGCCGCCAGCCAGGTGAGGACGCATGTGCCCAGGGCTGTTCCCTGGGCCTTGGTAGTTGCTGGACCACCTTTTAAAGCCTCCAGCAGGCAAGGCTTTCACCTAGCCTTTGCCACTGTTTTGTTTTTTGGCATACAGAATGCTGATTCTCAGGCCTACCTCCAAATAGTCGTTTTCTGGATTTGGGCTGGGCACCAAGGACCTGCATTTGAACAAATCACCCATGATTCGAAAGTGGGATCCTCAGAACACACGCCGGAAGACGCCAGATTAGTGCTATCCCGGCTCCTGACCCCAGGTGTCCTCCCTGAGGTCCCGACCTGTGGCCCTGGATGAACTTATTCTGAGGGCTAGCGTTTCCACCTGGCTGCTTCTCCCTCCTGGACCTCGCTCAGTCTCAGGCTCTTGGCTCATTACTGAGCTTTTAGCTGAAGCCTCGAGCAAGTGAGCAGACTGCATGTCACCTGAGTAGAGGGCTAGAAACTAGGACATCATGCTTGGCCGAGCAGATCCCACTCTCCCCAGCTGCCACCTCTCCCCCCAATCCCCACTCCACTCCCCACCCCCGCTCCCCACCACCTCCCTACCCTGCTCCCCACAACAGCCCTGGCCTCAAGGGTCCACCTCCATCATTTGAGGAGAGGCCTGTTCCAGAGCGCTGGGGCAGAAGGAACATAGAGAGAGACTTCTGGAGGGAAGCTCCAGAAGCAGGTGCCACGACCTCAGTTTGGGTGTCCACAAGGAAAGAGCAGAAGAAGGGGCAGATGGACTGAGAGGGCCAGGCCTGGAAGCATCCCAAACCCTCCAAGGAGCTGGTCTCTCCTCCAGCACTGGCCGAACTGAGTCCGCTGCCTTCCTCCTTGGCCCTGGGTTGAGAGGGCACATGTCTGCCCTCTGCTCTGCCCACCCAGAGTGTGGCATTTCCCTCACCCGTCATCATCTCTGTCTCTCCTTTTCTGTCTCTTCCCTTTCCTCTCCTCCTCTTCTCAGTTGTTCCTTCTCCTCTTGTCTGCTTCCTCTTGTTCTGCCTCTCTCCCCATCTCTCTCTATTTTCATTGACCAGTCTTTCTCCTCCTTGCCGCTCTCTTTCGTTCTTTGTCTCTTTATCTTCTTGTGCCCTCTGACTGGGTCCCTCCCTCTTCTCCAGGGCTCTGGCTCTGGACCCCACACTGCATGGCTACTCTGGATCTCTTCCTCCGGACAGCATCACAGGATGGCTCTGCTCTGTGCTGTTCCTGTCTGCTTCCTTCCTGGGCTGGGCTATGGGGCCTCACAGATCGGGGTCCCATGGTGTTACCCTCAGAGTTCATATTCCACCTGGGGAGGTGACAGAGAGGGGTAACAAAGGCCACCAAGAAATCCAAGTGTCCCCTCCCCTGGCTGTACGTGGAGGCCCTCCGCCCAGGCACCCATCTCAATGCCCAACCACAGACATTGCCAGTTCTCATCTTGGGCAAGGTTTGTGCCTGCCACTTCCAGCACATCCTCCCCAACTTCCACCCAGGAACACAAGCCTGAGAGAAGCTAGGCCCACCAAGCAACCAAGAGCAGGGTGAGCTGGCAGCCGAAGGTGGCTGTGGCCTGCCCTGGGGTGGGGAAGAGGAAGGAGGAAGAGCCTGAGCTCTCCCTCTCTAGAACTCCTCGATGATGCCGTCCTCCTAGTGCCCCTGCCAGCAGTGGGGGAGACCAAGTCCCTTATACTTCCAGGCCCTGCCCACCACCATGTGGTGTTTGCCCAATGGACAAGAGTTAGGGTCTCGGGGTCTTCTGAGAACACAGAGGAGTGAATCTTGCTGAGTCCATCATACCGCACACCCCTCCAGCCCCGCCAACGCAGCCTCTCTGCAGACGCTTTCTGAGCCTGCGGTGGCTGTGCTGGGTACCAAGCCATATGCTGGCTTGCAGCCTCGGGCACCCTTGGAGGGCACGGTGGGCTTGGAGAGGCAGTTCATGCCTGGGTCATGGCACTGAGTCAGAATTCCTCCGGGGCCTCAGGAGCAGAGGGCTGCTCTGCTGCAGCGGGCAGCGAGGGCAGGGCTGCAAGGGAAGCAGCTGGGAGGAGACTGGGATGGTGCAGTGCAGAAAGGGGAGAAGCCAGCTCTCTGGAGCATGTTGGCACCTGCGAGCCACACTGTGCTCTGTGATCAGCTTCTACCGGGGGAAGGACGAAGCTTGGGGGGTGTCAGGGCTGCCACTTAACTGGGCCCTGAGGACAGAGCACCTCAGAAGGGGGTGAGGTGGATGGGAGGTGGAGAGGGACCTTGAGAGTCAGAATGAGAGTAATGGAACTGTCATTAGTGTTGGAACTGGCAGGTGTCACCACCACCTCCTCCCCCCACACACAACAGGGGACATTTGGAGCTGCCATTCCGAGCTAGGAAGGCCCTTGGGAGCAGAGACTCTGACTCCCTCCCTTTTTGAAGAACAAACACAGAAGCTGTGTGAGCCAAAGTTGCCCAAAGCTCATTGGGAGGGCCAGAACAAATCAATCTGTCCTGTGGGTCACACTGCCCCTGTCACATTAAGGCAAGTGTGTCACTTACTCTTCAGAGGCCCAGACTGCCCTGAGAGCAGGGCTGGTGAGGGAGGGAGGAAGCCAGGTGTGAGGGGAGCTCAGGACCGGCTCTGCCCTTCCCAGTCAGACAGATAAAGGGGCTCCATGAGATTCCTGTCACCTACAGATCCCAACAGAGAAGGAAAACAGGTCTTTTAAAGAGTACATTGCATTTATCGCCCCCCCCCCCCACACACACAGTTTTTTTTTTTTAAAGATGAAGTCTTGCTAACATTGCCCAGGCTGGTCTTGAACTTCTGGGCTCAAGGGGTCCTCCCACCTCAGCTTTTCGAGTAGCTGGGACTATAGGTGACTATACGTGACTCTTACTCCATCTTAATGCTTTGTTTGACTCTGAGATCCTCTGGGGCTGAGAGGAAAGCCTCTTGGGCTGGATTTGGAGATGGATCTGAGCTCGGCTTCCTTCTGCCTGTGTGGCCTTGGACACCAGCTAACTGCTCGGGCCCTCAGGTTTTCTGCTGCAAGATGGAGATAGTCCATGGCCACCACACAGGGCTATTGTATGAGATGAGAGAAAAGACAGCCGTCTCTTGGGCTAGTTAGGGGAGTCTCGTGAGCAGTGAGCAAGCAAGCAAGCCTGGGAAGCTGCTCTCTCCCCACCTCCCATCCCCTCCTGACTAGTCACAGAGTCCAGGTCCCCCCATCCTGAGGGCTCTGGCTGCACTTCACCCTTCAGCTCAAGTGAAGTTGAGGAAGGCTGTCCTCTCCTCATGACTCCTCTCCCATCTGTCCTCAGCTGCGTGGTGGACGAGATGGATTTCTCCAGCATGGAGCTGGACGAGGCCCTGCGGAAATTCCAGGCTCACATCCGTGTGCAGGGCGAGGCCCAGAAGGTGGAGCGGCTCATAGAGGCTTTCAGGTAGGACCCCCTTTCTCAGCTCAGCTCCCCAAGCCCTCTAGACCCCCCTGGGGTGATCCCTGGGACAGGAGTTGCTGGGGGTCAGGCGACACTCTCAGTGGGGAAGAGGACAAACACCAAGAGTGAATGTCTCTGGGCCCAAAATCCTTAGGAAGCAGCCCCCGCTGCTGGAGGTCCCCACTGGGGAGCTCATGGTCTCTTCCTGCATACCCTCTGCCAGTCAGCGCTACTGTATGTGCAACCCTGAGGTGGTACAGCAGTTCCACAACCCGGACACCATCTTCATCCTGGCCTTCGCCATTATCCTCCTCAACACCGATATGTACAGCCCCAACATCAAGCCTGACCGCAAGATGATGCTGGAGGACTTCATCCGGAACCTGAGAGGTGAGGAGGTCAGGGCCAGGTAGAAGGGGTGAGGCTGTTGCTCAGAGCCTTAATTGTAGATTGCAACCTGCTCTCTGGGCCTAGTTACCCATGGCAGGCCAGGAAAGTCCCTTGCTGTCCAGACATCTTGGATCTCCAGGTGCCACCGCCCTACATAAAGCAGTAGGGCCCTTGTGCATTGCCTCTTGCCCTCCATGGAATATTCTCCATTGTGTGGCCTCCAGACCCTTGGTACATTGTAGCTGGGAACACAAGTGTGCACAACCACAACCAGTTTATTGGTTGAGATAGGGTCTCACTAACTTTTTGACTGGGCTTTACCTGGAACCATGACCCTCCTGGTCTCTGCCTCCTGAGTAGGTAAGATTACAGGTATGAGCCACCACACACAGATTTGAAATTTTTGCTTGTTTGTTTGTTTGTTTGAGGCAGGGTCTCACTGTGTAGCCCAGGCTAGTTGAATTCACAATCCTCCAACACAACCTCCCCAGGGCTGGGATTACAGACATGCTCCACCATGCCTGGCTTTCTTGTCAGTATTTTTGTTGTTGTTGTTGCCAGTGTTTAGGATGTAGGGGCTGGAGTGCAGGATCTCATTACCTGCACTGCCACGGAAGGGTGACCACCTGCTCCTTTTTGCTTCTAGTCTAGCCCTACCCCCACCCCAATGCTCCCAGGAAGAGAAGAATCTTGTTACCCATTCTACAACAAACTGCTCAAGGCCACATTCCCTGCTGGAGGGAAGGGGACAGCCAGGAGAGGGGAGATCACAAAAAGAATGAGAAAACATGAGAAAGATGCCCATGGGATGGGGGAGGTCAAGACACAAACACAGCAGACAATGGAATGGGAGGCAAATATGTTTAGCAGTAGTTAGCAGGACCCTGGAGGCTGTTCCTGGCCATGGGAAGAAAGTTTGGGAGAGGCTGGAAATGTGTGGAGGCTGTGCCCTAGGGGCTGGGGTGCCTGGCTAAGGAACTTGCCCTTAATTTAGTGGGAAGTCTGGGACATGAAGGTCAACCTCTTAGAGCTGCAGTCTGGTGGGGTGGTTTTGTCCCTCTGGTCCAAGACTCTGATCCCCTCCCTCCTCACTTGGCACCTCCCCTCCTCCTCCATGTTGGTAGGTGTGGATGATGGCGCCGACATCCCTCGAGAGCTGGTGGTAGGCATCTACGAAAGGATCCAGCAGAAGGAGCTCAAGTCCAATGAAGACCACGTCACATATGTCACCAAGGTGGAAAAGTCCATTGTGGGCATGAAGACAGTAAGTGCACACTGCACAGCCACGCTCACCATGTTGGGTCAGCTTCCTCCCCCTATGACTGCAAAGCCACCCCTTTCCATCTACTTTCCTCCTTGCCTCTCAAAAAAACTTTTCTATTAGTCACTCACTTCATCATTTTTGAGTGCCTATTCTGTGCCAGGCACTGCATAGTGTTTTTTTTTCCCCTTGTCTAATTTCCTCATTGCCTCTTGTCACCAGCTGCTACAGCAGGAGAGACTAAGGTGAGATGTCAGGAAGGACTGCCCAGTGGTCTAGGGTTGAAACATGTGGATGGCCAAATGGAGAAGTTTAAGATTCCCTTCCTAGGATGGGGTGAATTCCAGGCTTTCTTGGATGGTTGTAATGGATAGAAGAAAGGAAATGGGCTCAAGTAGGCTGTAAAGGGTGGTGTCTAAAACCATGGAGGTGCCCCATTCCTTGTGACCTGTGTCACAGGCAACGTGTTCCAAAAGTACAGTATTTTTTAAGTGAGTGCCCCTGTGGTTACTGTGCTACTCCTATGTCTGCAGAAGCCCTTTACGCCTCCAGAGCTGCAGAGCAGGTCCCTGTTCCCCCTGGCTGATGAGTGGCTTCAGCAGGTCAGAGGGCCCCGGGGCCTCCTCCTCCCCCTTCCTTCCTGTGCAGAGGGAGCCTCTTCTGCTTTAGGGTCTTCGTGGCCAAGGTCTTGGCATCAGTCTGGTTTGGAAATGATGTGGTTTTCGGATGTACTGGAGTAGATCTGCCATGTTCCTCTGATCCCCTTTCTCTTGCACACTTGCACACATGCGGGCTGCAGCCTGGGACATGGGTTCTCCCTCAATGTCATCGAGGGGAAAAGGTTAAACATGGTGGAACTTGAACAGTCTGAAGCTCTTTTCAATTTCCTTTTCCTACCCATTATCTTCTCATTTACCACAGTATAACGAACCCCTTCGTCTCTGCCTTGGTTCTCCCACAAGTTTGATAAAGGGAAAAGAGCCCAGATGAGGAGAGAAGAGGTTTAGGGTCAAGTGCAGACCCTGCCATAGAAGCAGAGCCCCTCCTCTCTCCCTGGACCCCCACCTCCGTTTCTGGAAAGTAGGTGCGGAGGTCCCTGGGGTTTCTCTGCTGAGCTCCGGGCCTGGTTCCAGGTGCTGTCGGTGCCGCACCGCCGCCTGGTCTGCTGCAGCCGGCTCTTCGAGGTGACGGACGTGAACAAGCTGCAGAAGCAGGCCGCACATCAGAGAGAGGTGTTCCTCTTCAACGACCTGCTGGTGGTGAGCAGCGCCGCGGGGACTGGGCGGAGAAGGCCGGACGAAGAGGGGCGGGGCCGGGGCAGCCTGGTCCCTTAGGTCCCGCCCACTTGAGCTGGGCAGGGCGGGGCCAGACCATGGCTGCCCTGGGGACACGCCCACAGGGTTGCAAAGGGGCGGGGCCAGGGCAGCCTGCTCTCTGAGGTCCCGCCCACTTGAGCTTAGCAGGACGGAGCCAGGCCGTGGCTGCCTGGGGACACGCCCACAGGGTCGAAAGGGGCAGGGCCATGGCAGCCTGCTCTCTCAGGTCCCGCCCACTGGGACTTGGTGGGGCGGGGCCAGGCCGTGGTTGCCTGGGACACGCCCACAGCGACTGCCCGAGGCTCACCTGCCCTGCTCAGCCGGGACAAGGACCGGGATGGGATGGGATGGGAGGGGAGCCCAGAGCTCTCAGACAGAATACCCTCTACACAGTGACTGAGTTATCTTTTTCGAGACACTTGCATATCATGGTGAGGTGGCTCAGGCAGATGTGACTATTCCTATTATATAAATCATGAAGTTGAGGCACAGAGACCTAAATGATCTGTTCTAAGTAACACGAAGATGGGGACGAACTAGACTCAGACCACCTGCCTCTGCACCTAAAAGAAACCTAGGACTGGGGGTCATAGGGACGCACTCCTGCGCAATGAGCAAATAGCCTGCCCAGTCACTTTCTATTCCTTCCCTATTTCATTTACTTCAGAACACTTAACAGTTTCTAAAATTACCTTATCCCTTTCTCCGCTCTGATTTTGCTATTATGGCTTGGTTAGTGGATGGATGGGTGGATTTACATCTTGACTGTCTCCACCATCATGTGAGCACCTTGAGCACAGGGCTCTCTGTCCTGTGTTCTCCTTATCTCGGGGCTCAGGAGGTGTGGAATAAAATATTCATACATTTAGCAACTGGCAGACTGACCTTTCATGTTACTAGAGGTGGGATATAGAAGATGTGTAACAACTAGCTACTCAGGATGCAGAGATTGGGAGGATAGAGGCTCGAGGCCAGCCTGGGCAAAAAGCAAGAGACTCTATCTGAAAAATAAAAGCAAAAAGTCCTGGGAGCATAGTTTAAGGGGTAGAGTGCTTGTTTGAGGCCCTGAGTTCAAACCTCTGTACCACCAAGAATTAAAATAAGTAAAAAAGAAAGAAAAGAAGAAAATAAATGAACAAGATAACGAGATGGGGGAAGGTGTATGAAGACAATAAAAGCAGGTGGTAGGACAGAGTGAGTGACGATAAGGGGGGAGGTTCTTGACTTGCTTTTGTATTTTTTAGATGGGATTTTTTTTTTAAGGAAGGTATCTCTAAGGAAGTTGTAGTTAAAGCCGAAGTAATGAGAGTAATCCACCCAGGTTGCTGCACGTATAAGGGGCCTGCAGTGGTTCTGTGCTGCGTTATTCGAGCTACAGAAAAGAAGACAGGGTGGCATCAGCATAAAGCCAGTGTAAACCATAGGCCGATCTCATATGGGTTGCAGGCCAGGGCCAGAGGCGGGGAATGGTCTCTAAGTGCAGAGGGAATTGTCACACTGGGTTTTGAGCAGTGAACATCCATGTGTATGTCTGTCATGCATATCTGTGTCTGTGCATATATGTGTGTGAATGTATCTGAGGTGCACCTTTGTGTGCTATGTCCACAAGTTGGCGCAAGCATGTGTGCTTGCACCCTGGTCAGTGTGTCCACCCTCTCTTGGGCAGATTCTTAAGCTGTGTCCCAAGAAGAAGAGCTCCTCCACATACACCTTCTGCAAGTCAGTTGGCCTGCTGGGCATGCAGTTCCAAGTCTTTGAGAATGAGTGTAAGTCCTGAGGACTAAGTGACTCGGGAGAGATGGGAGGGGCAATGTGAGGGAGGAGGGCTGGGCAGTGGGACAGATGGAGGAGCAAGTACCCCCAAGACGCCGTCCCCTCCCAACATCTGCCTGGCTCTGGCTCCCGGTGACTGCTCCTCACAACTGTCGGGGGTCTGGGCTGCTTTCCAGATTATTCTCACGGCATCTCCCTGGTGACTCCGCTCTCGGGCACCGAGAAGAAGCAGGTGTTGCACTTCTGTGCCCTGGGCTCAGACGAGATGCAGAAGTTTGTGGAGGACCTGAAGGAGTCGATCGCTGAGGTGACAGAGCTGGAGCAGATCCGGATAGAGTGTAAGGACTTGGGGGTCAGCAAGGGGCAGTTTATAGGCAGACATGACCCTGACTTCCAGGAACAGACCCACTCTGCCCTTGCTCCTCTTTGGACCCTCTGCTCCTCCCCATCCCTCCCCTCCCAGCCCCACTGCAACATCACAGTTTCTTTAAGACTAAAATGAGGCACACACATGCATGAGTACATCCCACTGGGCACGTAGGGTGCACGTGGGATCCTTGGCATGGAGAACTCTGCTGTGTTGGGCCAGGAGAAGCAGACCCAGGCCAGATGCAGAGCCAGGAGAACCAGGTGCTCCCTTCCCACCAAACTTTTTCCCCAGATCTAGTCCAAGCAGCAGAGTGCATCTAGTTAGTTTCATTTCTCTTATCTCTGTAATCTAGAATTGCCTCTCTACTTTCTTTTTTGGTAACACCGGCTTGTTGAAGATCCCAGGCTGGTTTTCTTCCTGCCCTTGGTCTTGGAGTGTCTTTCTGTCCTCTAAGGAATGCCTGTGTTCCTGATCATTCCAGTTCAGGGATTTTAGAATGGACGTGGGTCCCTTCAGGCATCCAGTTGGTTTTCCAGTCACTTTTTGGTTTGAGGCAAGAAATGACAGCCCACAACCTGTGCTTCTTAGCATCTTTCACTGGGAAAACTAAAAAAGGAGGGATTCTAAAACTAAAACCGAACAAAGATAGATTCAGGGCTGCCTTATATGGCCACTTATTTGAAAGGTGTCTCTAAATTAATATAAATCCACCAGGCAAGGAAAGGCAGTGGGGATATGAGCAGGGGTCAGCATGACCAGCAGTGCATTACAACCATGGTTTTTGGAGCACTCACCATGGGTCAGGCAGTTTTTCTATATTCTGCTAATCCTTGCAGTGACCTGCAAGGTAGACTTATTTTTCCCACTTGACAGGTGAGGCTCAGAGAAGTGGTACAGGCTGTGCACGTTGGCAGTGGAGGCGTGGACATTGAAATTTAAGTCTCAGTCCCTGTTCTTTCCACTCCAAAAACATAGAGAGGCTCTGTCTGATTTACTAAGAAAACCGTCGAAATCAGGATAAAACAAAACCTACCACATACAGCTCAGGAAACTGCCTGACAAGGGGGAGTGTGTGGCAAGCATGTCTGTTCCTTTCTGTATCATTGTGGTGTCTCAAACAGACTATTTCAAGGGCTGGACTGGATGCCTAGAGAAGCCACTTTGGCTATTGTTCTGGAACATTCTCAAGGATGGGCCTGGAAATGGCTTCACTTTTCTCATTGTCAAAATGTCATTAAAGGCCCCACAACACCTGGGGAGCCACTGCACACCTGCAACCCCAACATTGCTGAGGGACATACCTCTTCCTATCAGCCCTGGGGCAGCTCATAAGCTCCCCCACACCCCAAAATCACAGAGAAGCAGATATGGTCCAGAGTCTCCTATGACCAGAGAGGAATAGGAGCTGGCTGGGAGCAGGGAGAAAGGCCAAGTTTTGGTCTTCAGATAAAAGAGAAAGGGAAGGAATGGCAGAAGAGAGAGAGGGACTGGTCAGGGAGGCAGGCAGGAGAAGAAACTAGGAAGTGAAAAAGAAAACGGAAGCTGGTAGCAGCTGCTGTCTATTCAGCACTTATGACAGGCCAGGCGCTGGACAGATGGCCAAACTGGTCGTTTAATTTTCACAACTTTCTGTGTTTGCATATTATTCTCTTAGTCTTACAAATAAGGAAACTGAGGCTAGCAGAGCTTAAGAAAGGTGCCTAAATTCTCAGAGTCAGTAACTGTAAGCTCCATACCCAGGCCCTCTGGGCTCCTTGTGTGTAATCATGATGTTAATTCCTCCAGGGCCAAGAAGTTCCTTGAGGGCAGGTGCACAAGTCTCCATTCAAAAGAGATGTGGTGGTGATAGATGGTTGATGGATTCAGGCAGCAGGACAAACCAGTGGCCCTGAATTAGAATTCAGGGCAACCTGAGAGACATCAAATGGATCCCAAGAGAGTGGGTTTAATAAAATGAACTTGAGTTATGTCTCCTGGAACCAAACACTGGAGAAGTGATTTAATAACCCTGTCCAGTCTCCAAGGATGGTGACTGGCAGTTCTTCAGCAATGCTGAAAGAACAAGCAGGACCAGGTTTCCAGTCCAGGGGGAGGTGTTAAAGTGGAGGACAGAGACAGATGTCCTGGCCGGTGTGCCACCCCAACAGCTCCCAGGGTGGTGGAATTGCCCCCTTGGGAGAGCTTTGAGCATCCTGCCCAATTCTGCTAGGTGCATGTGGATAAACTAGATGTCACCAACTGTGACGAAGGCCTGCATGTACTCAGTGCTTCTTACACTCAGTCATACAGCTAATGTGTGACTTGCCATGAGTCAGACTTGGTTCTTTGTGTTTTGGCTCCTAGGTGAGGCACAGAGAGGTTATATGACTTGCCTCAAGCCATACAGCTAGAAAGTGTCAGAACCAGGATTCCAACTCAGGCAATTCACTCCCTTTTATCTCCCTCTCCCACTGCCCCTCTGATAGTCAAATAGATGTCATCATCCCATGTATGGATGAAGAAACTATGACTCCCAGAGCAGATTTAACAGACTTTTTTGGTTGTTTTTCAGGTGGCACTGGGGTCTTGAACTCAGGGCCTTGCAAGTGCTCTACCACAGGAGCCATGTTGCCTGCCCTAACTGGCTATTAAATGACATAGCAGGCCCTGTCTTATAGCATGTGGTAGGAGAGGAACCCCTCCTCCTTGCCCCTCTCTCCCTGCTCTCCCCATGTCTCCTCACTTGCCTTTGCATGGTGGAAGTTAGGGCTCCTCTGTTCATGGCCTCTCCTTTCCTTAGGGGAACTGGAGAAGCAGCAGGGAACAAAGACACTCTCCTTCAAGTCGGGGGAGCCCAGATGGACCCACAGTCCAAGCAAGCATCGCCTCCAGGTGAGCCTTGGCTCTGCTGTCATTGACCCCTCCCCTCCTACCACGGCCAGTGTGTAGACCAGTCCAGGGCCCTGTGTTGGTTCCCGGCGGCTCTGAGTGGGAGATGTACCTGTCTCTCTGGACATTTCCCTCCATGGAGGGAGTTCCAGGATTGCTGCTATTAATCTCAGGGACTTCAGTAGTGGGGAAAGGAAGGAGAAAGTGTCCATTTTGCACACTGCCCCACAGTTCAGGAGTCCATGCAAAATGTCACCATTTGCTTGGAGAGGCCAGGCCAAGAATCCTGATATCCTGGCTGCAGGTGGGAGAAGAAGAAGGGTGACCAGGAAAGTCAAGGTTGTTGCAGGGCCTCCCTGATGAGCCCAGCTCTTTCTCTAAGGACTCCATGAACTCTCCTGCCCCAGGCCCAAAATCCAGATGCACCTCAAACTCAGGTTCCCAAAAGTTTCTTCACATCAAATTGCTCCCTCCAGTTGAGTGGAGTCATGCTGGACTTGGTGTCCCCTTTGTCCGGGTTCTCCAGACCAACTTTCTTCTCTGACACCCCTCATTTCTACCTGTGACCCCAGCCTTAGCCACCAGCAGGGAACACAGGAGCGGCCACCACCCCCAAGCCCAAGTAAGGAGGAGTAAGGGTAGATGGCAGGAGAGTTAAACTCTAGCCACACCAAACCTCAGCAAGCCAAGTGGAACTGTCCCTTAGGTAGCTCAGTCATTCCATCTCCTGCTCCTCCAACGCGGGTCCTTAGGGCCTGCAGCCTTGGGCTGAGCACTGAAAAGCCAGGGTCCCAGCTTGAGCTGAAGACCCCCAGTGGGATCCTGTGATCCCAAACCCTCTGTGGCTGGCCCTGATGAACAGCGTAGGGACTGGTCACACCCAGTAGGACATGTGATACACTTTCTCAGCAAGACCTGGCTATGTGAAGAATCTTGCTGTCATGTCATCTGTGTAGATGGGTTTGACCTGTCATCATGGGTCCATAACTCTCCACCCTGATTTCAGTGGGCCCTGTTCTTTTTACAAGGTCATGGGACCTGGGTCACTGCTTGTTTTCACAGCTGTCTAAACCCTGGAACCAGCTGGGATTTATTCCCTCTTGCCCTACACCCTCTCTTTTGGGAGCTGCAAGCCCTGGTCAGACTTGGCTACACATCACCAGAGACTTGTCTGTTAGCCTCATTCCAAATAGTGACAGAATTCCTCTGCGCTTTGGAAATCAGAGGGGTGAGCACCGGTAGCTCCAGGGGCTGAGAAATCAGAAGGGCTCCTGCTGGGGGAGATGGAGGGTAGAAGCTAGGGTCACTTAGCCAAGAAGTCATCGAACTATCTCTGGGAGCCCTAGGAGTCTCTGCTTCTGTACTGAGCTAGTAATCATAGGCCATTAGGTGCGCTGATGTTTGCCAGGCTGGGTACTCTGCCATCCTTAGATCCTCAAATCTTCATCACTCAGCTAAGTTACCGTGATAGGAACAAGGACAGCCCTGACCTCAAAGGACCTGTAGTGGAAGGAGCCTGGCAGATTAACATGGTGTCTACCTCTTAAGCCAGCTCTCCCAGTCAGTTCATCTTGGAAGAATTTGGCTAAGAGACAATCAGACTCATCAATGCCAATGACAGAATGTCAGGATCTGCTAGTCTGTGGAGGCCCAGAGAGGTGCGGCATCTTGCCAAGATCACACAGTGACTAAGTGGCAAAGCGGGCTCTCAGCTTGTAGTGCACTGGACTGGGCTGCATCCCAGTGGGCCATGTGTAGCACCCACAGCCTGGCTGCCCATGCCAGCTAACTGCAGAGGTATCACAGGGGAGGAGGGAGGACTGGGCTCTCCTCAGGACTGGTGGAGCATGAGCCCTGTGCTGTTTGCATTCAAAGCCAAAAGGGAAGCGGCGCTGGGGGAGAAGCCGGCGGAGAGCTCGGGGGAGGTAAGTGGAGGCCTGGTTGTGTCCAGGTGAGTGATTCTGTGCCCTGCTTGTCCTTCTTCTCACAGTCTCTGTTGTTTCTCTTCTCAGGTATTAATCAATGCCTCCCCAGCCCGACTCACCATTTTACCAATTTCAAGAGATACAATTAAAAGTTACTGCTAGCCTGGGTGTGATACCCCTCTTCCAGCACCTAGTTAAGCCACAAGCACTGCCTCCCTGCTCCCCAGCCAGCCTGCCCCAGTCCTCCAGGGCTGAGCTCCTGGACTAGTCCAGGGAGATGAAGCCCACGACACTCCGTGGCTCTCCCTCCTGTGCTCCACACTCCCACCTCCCCAGCAAACCTGTCATTACACCCCAAAACTTGCCCTTTCAGAGAACGCAATGTTCTCTTTCCAAGTCCTCCCATCCCCCACAGAGGGAGCCTGGCTCCCCCTACCCCAACACTGGAGTCTCACCTAAGGTCAGGTCTCCAGTGGTCACTTTTGGGGCAGACTTGCCCTTTTGGATACCCTGGGGAAGTTGGAGGATTGAGAGTGGGGCAACAGTGCGGGGAGCTTCTCCCCAGAACAGCTGCTCCCTGGAAGGCTGGCCGTCAGGGGCCAGGTATTTGCAGCAGGAAAAGAGGCAGAGTAGGGCGAGGATCTTCTAGAGGTCTTCCTGGGGGAAGAGCTGAAAAATCTGAAGACCCTCTGTGTTGGAGGGAGAGGGTGTCCATCCCCAAGCCTCACAGGAAGGGAATGGGGAGGCAGCAGCTGGCCCCTGCCAGCCATAAGGCGCCTGTCTTCCCTGGGAGGAGCTAGGATGGGCCTAGTGCCCTCTACCGGATCCCTTTGCCCCTAGTGGGCCCCCCTCCTTTGCTGCCAGGCCTCTGGGGACCACCAGCTGCTCATACAGACAGTCCTTTCCAATCCCCACTTCAAGCTGGAGGGGCCCCCCTACAGATGTAAGGGAGGAGCCCACCCACCAGCCTGCGAAGCCCTGGGGAGCCACGGGATGCCCCGGAGCCCAGGTTTTCTGTCTGTCCCCGCGCCCCACCCCCACACGTGTGTCTGGAGGAGGCACCTTCACTGGAGGAGCTCCCCGCCCCAGCAGCTGACCAGCCCCCAGGGTGGGTATTCCATCCCCCGCCCTGCTCCCCCATCTTCCCGCAGCTGCTCTTTCTCAGCCTTGCAGATGATCACACAAGAAGTCACCAGCCCTCCAGCAAATTCCTCCCAAGCTGATGCCCTCCCGTCTCCCCTCCTGCCCGCCCTAAGTGGCCATCTGCAAGGCTGCCCCTCAGCTAGCTCCAGGGCCCTGCCAGCCTATGCTCCCCTGCAAGGGCCACCCAGTGGCCTCTCAGCAGCCCAGCTCTCTTCCTCCAGCATTGCCTGGCCCAGCCCCTCTGGCAGGCGCTTCTCCATCTTCTCTGAGCTATTCTGACTGCTTCTCATGTCCATCCTCTCTCTTCTTTCTTTCTTTCTTTCTTTCATGAGCAGGGAGGTGAGAAGGGGTTGGAATGAGAGGGCCGTTTGCTGTCACACCCTGCTTTTTACTTTATTGGCCATTAAAGATAACAGACCCAGGCTGGGGTGCAGCTGAGATGCAGATGGGGGATGAAAATGCGGGAATGGAGAAGGGGTGCTGGCTGAAGCTGTGGGCCCCATTGGGCAGTTGAGAGGAGGAATGAGAAGACACACTTACTCTGGACTAGGAGGCTTGGACCCGGGCCTCTGCAAAGGCGGTACAGGGTCTCAGGCCATTTCTCCTTTGGAATAGTTCCCAATATAGCAGGTGGGAAAGGAGACTGTGTCCTCTGTGAGCGGTGGTGACAGATAAGGACCACAAAGGGCTCCCCGAGAGGAGGGGGCTCCTGGCCATGCCCTCTTGTGGGCTGTGTGTCTGGGCCAGACGGTAAAGGGCTCAAGGTTCCTTTGTCTATCTAGGGGGACCTCAAGCCTGGAAAATGGTACTGAGTTGGGGGCTGGGGATAAATAAAGCCTGGGAAGTGCTGCTGATGGCATTGGGGGTTATGAACATTTGTGAATACTGAGGGGAAAAGACCCGGGGAAGGCAGATTCAGGGAAGGAGCCCCTGAAATTGCACCTTCAGCTCATAAATGTGATTAGGAAATGCTGGGTTAGGGCTCTGAGATAGTGTTGGATTAGGCCATCCTTGTCTAGGCCTAGGATGAGATCCCCTGCGCTGAGCCTCACCGTCCCCCTCTTTGCTCTGAGCAGCGGACCCTAAGTGGTGGTGCCCAAGGACAGACAATGGCTTAATAGCATCCTCAGAGAGGAGAAGGCTTTTGGCCACCTCTGAGGACCCAGGTGTTGCGGGGAGGGATGGTGTTGGGTGGTATATACAAGTTGGGAAGCTCCTGCTTCCAGAATCTTTGAACCATCCTTGTGGCCATTTCCTCCACCTCCCCTCCTAGCAAGAGAAGGCTGGGAGAGTGAGTTTGTTACCATCTCTGTAGTCTGCAGGAGGGGTCTCACAAGTGCCATCCGGGCCACCTCCTCCTGCCCCACCCAAGGAACAAACATTAGAGCCCCTCTAGCTCCACCCTGCTGCCCACCCTGCTGGGCAAGTTTAACCAGGGCCCAGTGCGGCTAGAAAGGAAGGTGGGGGCACCTGAGTCTGCCCTCAGCCATTTGGCCTGCTTTCAAATGCAGGGCATTGGCCTTGGGAGTCTGGGAAGACAGAGTAGGTCCAGAATGCCTCTTCACGGGTTCCCTGTATCCTGGGGCTTGATGACAGGGCTTCCTCTTTAAGAAAGCTGGAGGAGAGGAGCTTGCAAGGATCCAGAATGCTTCGCTATGTCCTTGTGTCTTGTCCTCCTTTATGGCAGCACATCCCTGGGAGGTAGGGAACAGAAAAGACCATTAGCCCTGCTTCACAAGCTCCATTGGTGGGGCAGGAGGCCGGAAGGAGTTTGTCCATGGTCCAAAGCCACCCAGGTCATGAAATCAGACTGCAATGCACTGCAGAACCCATCTCACAGATGAGAAGACGGAGGCCTAGAGACTGAGGCCATGATCACCCTCTCTGCCTCCACTGAGAAGCAGGTTTCGTCTGGGACAAGCAGAGGGTCAGAGCAATTGCTGAGAGCAAGGGCTACATAGGAGAGGCACGGGAGGGAGGCAGAGGGAGGCTCAGAGTAGCCAGCCCCGGCAGCTGGGAATTAGTGGTAACATTTCATGCTTCTCTGGCTGTTTCTAAACTAGGTGTCAATTCACAACAGGCTTCAAACGTCCCAGCACACCTCCGGGCTGGGGGCCGAGAGGGGAGTGCCAGTGCTGCAGCCGCCAGACCCACAGCCTAGCCCCCTGAGAGAGCAAGCTCCGCCACTGCCACCACCGCTACCACCCACTCCCCCAGGCACCCTGGTGCAGTGCCAGCAAATTGTCAAGGTCATTGTCCTGGACAAGCCCTGCTTGGCCCGAATGGAGCCCCTGCTGAGCCAAGCTCTGTCCTGCTATGCCTCATCGTCCTCTGATTCCTGCAGCTCCACACCTCTGGGCGGCCCAGGCACCCCCGTCAAGGTCATCCACCAGCCTCCATTGCCACCGCCCCCACCCCCCTACAACCACCCTCACCAGTTCTGCCCACCGGGCTCCCTGCTGCTCAGACGCCGATACTCCAGCGGCTCCAGGAGCCTGGTGTAGACTTTGCCCCAGCGCTCTGCCGTCCCAGCGGGCTGGCCACTAGGGGGCGCCTGGGCTGCCCCTTCACTGCTCCCCACACCCTGGCACCAAGAGACCCTGGTTACTGATCTGTATCATTTTGGAAAAAGAATCCCAATCCCTGGCACCCGGTTTGCCTGATCCAACCATCCTTCCCTTGCTTGACTGAGCACCTCCCCATCCCCCGCCCAAATCTGGAGACACCATCTCACTCTCCTGAGGCCCCACACAGCCAGAGGAACACGTCCTCTTCTCTGGCCATCACATTTCCCAGTTGGACCACGGATTGAAGAAAACTGGCGCTGAGGGGCCGACAGGATTTCAGGCTTCGGGTCGACTAGTGCCCAAGCCTTGGGTGGATGAACAGGAGCGAGAGGCTGTGTTGGCCGGCAGTGGAGCCCAGGCCTAAAGGTGGGCTAGCTCACAGTTCCAGGACCAGGTGCATCTGAGGCCAAGCCAAGTGCAGGAGAGCTAGCCCCAGCTAATTGTGGGGTGGGGGCGTGGGGGGGAGAGTGGTAGCAGGCATAAGGAGAGGAGGGGACTTTCTCTGCTTCTCCTGTTTCCCCTAGCCCAACAGTCTCAGGAGGCCAAGCCTTGGTCCCCAAAGATGTTGGCTGTCCTGACCACATCCCTCTCCCTCCTCCAAGGGCCTTCTCCTGAACATCCCAACTCTGGGAAGCTTTGAGAAAGAGAGGAGGGAATCCGAAGTGCTCAGCTCTCTGTAGCCCAGTTCAACAGGGCCGTGGCATTATAAGAGTCATCTATCTACAAAATGATCTTTTTAAATGTGTTTCTTAGTTCCCTAGCCCAAATAATACCCAGCCAATGCCAATGCCAAATGCACATAGGCACTTGCACATAAACACACGTGACCAGGTTAATTTCTTCCATGTGGAAGCAGGAACAAGGGGCTGGGGTACTGATTTGCCCGACAGAGGTACGACTGGGCCCCAAGTCAAGAGTCCATCCTGCATGACTCTGTGGCCTCCAGGAGGGGCCTGGGTGCAGAAGTAGACTAGTGTGTCTCCTCTGTTGCCCTTTAAATAGTTCCCCTCCTGGAAGGTGCAGATCCACCTCTAGCAGGGGTGACTAAGAATCACTAGCCTCTCTGAATGACAGAAGGAAGTCAAGCAGAGCTCACTGTCCTCCCAGAGCTGATCAGGATGGGAGAGCCAGTTGAAGATGGCAGAAGACAGGCAAGCAGCCTACCCTCAAAGACCACAGGGGCGGTACATGGCCTGCCCTAGTCATGGCCTTTTCAGGAAGTGTCTGTCCAGTCTCCCGTTCTGTGCCAATAGCTTCAGGTTCGTTCCTGCTCAGAGCCCGTTTCTAAAGCCTCCAGAGAGATGCAGTGAATACTGCCAAGTCTAAAGTGAAGTGGCTTCTCTCAGTCCCTACCGCTGGCCCCACTGCACGCAGTGCCCTGGGCCAGACAGGAGGCACAGATAATTCCTGCCTCTCAGAAGGGCTGAATGACCTCATTTTGTGTGTATGTGTGTGACCACCCAGATGTAATTATGATGTCACCCAATGAGTTTATTTCTGGTCCGATCTTTGTCAGCCTAGCTTCCATAACCTGCAGCCAAATTGCTCTCCCAGCCTATCTGCACCTCACCGCACTGGCTGCCATGGCCCCTTCTGAGTCTTTTCTGTAACAGGGATGCTCCAGTCAGAGCTTGTGGGAGTGGAGCAGCTGACAGGGTGCATGATTAGACACCTTGCTGCAGGTCAGGAGGGGGTCAGGGCCTCAGAAGGACATGGAGTTGTGGGATAGGAGTGAAAGCCTTGAATGAGAGGGATGAAAATAGTCCAACTTTTTAGTAGGAGTCAGGGTGTGAGGTCTGAAGGAATATGAGTTTGACTGCAGCTAAATATATTTGTGGCATATGGGGCCATGGGTACCAGGGGCTGTTGAAGGAGAGGCATAGCCCTGGACAACCTAGTCCCCATCCTTGGGACCCTTGTACTGTATTCCTGTTGAGCTTCAAGCTGACCAAGTAGCCTCTTTCCCTGTTGGCGGGCACAGCATCTCTAACCCTAACTACCCCACTCAGCTGAAGCGTGACTTTCCAGATGGGCCCCAGCAGAAGGTTTGGGGCTGGCCTGGGGATTCTCAGACATTGTTAGGCCCCCTTCCCCAGGAAGAGGCTCACCTTGGGCGGCTGCAGCAGTTGTCCTGGCTCCTGCTGACAGCAGGGGAGTCCTGCACAGGAAGCCAGTCAGCCTGAGGTCAGTAGCACTAAGCAGTCCTGAGCCAGGAGGGGCTCTGAACTCCTGATGGCCTGGGGCAAGAAGCAGCTGGCCCTCTACTGTCAGGGAAAGCTAGAGTTCCCAGCATCCCGAATGTCCGTCCTCTGATCAGCCAGCAGGCTAAGGCTGGGTCCTGTCTCCAGAGTCATAGGAGAAACTTTCTGCCCCTTCCCATGTGTTGGCCACAACAGGGCTTCCAGTCCTTCCAGAGGCCCAGAGAAATACCCTTGGGCCCTCTTGCTCTCTGAAAGTTAGGGAGTGCTGACTGAGCCCCAGACTCAAACTTCCCATCAACTCTCTAGGCCTTACTTTGGGGACCTGCACCCCTCTCCTGATTTATCCATTTGGCCCCAACTCCAGAATCAAGAGTGGGAGACAGAATTAGATTTCCTACCTGCTTTTGGGCAAGTCCCACCTCTAGTCCTGAAGCAGGCTCTGGCCTGGCAGCCTGTCCTGGAAACCTGCCTGTCTGTCGGCAAAGGTATCTTGTTCCCATACACACTTACTGGCCCTGGGCCCCCACCCAACCTGTCCCTGAGCCTGCCAGGATGTCTCTGGTATCCCTGATAACTGTCTCTCTGTCTGTCCCTGTGTCAGCTGTACATCCTTCTTGCTGTACCCCCTCTTCCCAAGTCCACCCTTCACCTACTGGAGAGAGACCTCTCTAGGGAAAGGCAGGGTGGCCGCACCCAGCGACTAATCCAAATGGCAAATATTTTGTAACAAAATAGCCCAGAGGTATTTTATCTGTTCAATTCATAGAGTTTTAGAGATTATATTGAAATATGTCACTTGAGCAATCTGTGTGGTTGTTTCTTTCACTCTTGCAGAGGGAGAGCCCACTTAAATCAGAGGGTCTACCTGGTGACAATTCAGCAAGAGGACATACTTGCCCTCCTGCTGGGCTGCTCTCTTTGACCATAGCAGTCATTCCTTTACCCCTGGGATAGATGATAGCTTATTATGTGACACGATTAGGAAGCCCATCTTAAATAAATGAGGCCTGGGTGCAAGGAAAGTAAGGACCAGTCATCTGATCCACTAAGGCAGAGCTGGAGAGCGGGGCCAGGAACTTTCCTGTGGGGGTAGCCTGCCTGTACCTCCACCATTACACACAGACAAGTGTGCACATGCATGCACACACAGAGTCAGCTGAGCGCAGGTTACGAAGAAGACCAGAGGTGACCTTGGAGGAGGAAGTGCTACAACACCCAACGTGCACACAGGCATCGAGGGGTGCAGGGCTAGGACCCCGGCCTGCTTGACTTTCTGCAATGGAGAGTAAGGGCCCATCCCACTGTCCAGATTCCATCATTAGCCTTAGGTGATTTCCCCTGACATCAACTCCCAGAGTGGGAAACCTAATCCAGGATCTGCTCTGACAAGCCCTGAGGCAATGGGCTCAAGTGAAAGGATGGGGTAACACCATGGGGGAAAGTCTTGCAGCTACCAAAAGCAATTGAGCTAACATTTCCTGAGCCCTTCCTGTGCCAGGTCTGCTGGCAGCTGAAAAGGATACAAATTCTGGGGAAGGGCTGGAGAGAGCGGAGGTGCTTTCTCTAGCAGGGACAGAGAAGAGGGCTGCCAGACACACAGAGGCATCACAGGACCTCACCTGACACCTGAAAATGGGTCTCCCAGCTCTCCTGATGGTCAGAACTCTGGATGCCCAGACATCTAGACAACTTCTGTGCCCTCTGTAAGCTGGGTCCTGTGTGTTCCCTGTTAAAGTAAAAGGGAACACTTGCTCACACTTTTCCCAGGAAAAGGGAAATTCCAGAAAAAGTGTAGGTCAGCTAGGACCTGTCCCATCCTGGGAATTCTCTGACCCAGGAAGCTGAGGACCAGACCCTTGAGAGCTCCCCTGAGGTGACCCACAATGCTGAGGCCTGGGAAAGGGCCTGAGGCCAAGAGAACCCCACTGCTGTCTGATCCAAGCTTCTTCCCCTCCCCACCCCCCACCGTCCTCCAGGAGAAAAGTGGCCTCCAGGGTGAAGGGGAGACCATTGCATTCTGATTCAGCCTCTGGAGCCATCTGCCACAGGCATGGAGAGCTCTGGTCAGTCCCTGTGATGACACTATAGTTCACATTCATTTTCATTGGCTTACGTATCCAGGAAGGGATCCTGAGATTTACCAGCTTCTGGCTGAGAGCAACAGTTCAAAACGAGATGTCAGTACCAGAAACTGACACACTGGGCAGTAGTTTGGGGGACACATAGTAACAATGACAAGCAAAGCTCTGCTTGCAAGGTCGTACTGGGAGAAGGGGGTTTTGCCATCCAATAGGAACAAGAAACAGCTATGTCCACACAGAGAGCAGTGACAGGATAGGGATGACCAGGAGGACCATGTTACAGTGAACATTCATGGAAGGATGGTCTGGCGAGGATAGTTCTATCAGGTCAAGGTCAGAGGAAGTTCTGAGACCACCTGCAGAGTGGGGAATGGACACTTTTAAGGGCAGAAACAAGACAATCTGTCAAAGGACCATTACCTGGTATTTTAATTTACTTGCATGAATTTTAAAAAACCTCACTAAGTGTGTAAAAATGGGTTGAAAACCATCTTCTCTGAGAAAAATCATAAAATTGACCTTCTAGAATATCCACATCCAATGGTTACCAGCAGCCTAGACCAGGCAAGGAAGTGGGCTGAGGGTGGGCAGTCAGGTGGCTCTGGTGAGGCAGGGGGCTGATGGTGACCACACTGAAGGACCCAAGCCTCCGCTG